TGCCAATACTTCTTTTTGTGCTTCCTCCTCAAGGGTTGGACTAAAGTCTGCTACAAAGTCTGCCAAAGCTTGTGATTTGATTGCAGTCCTAGGCTCGTATTGTATATCGTACCTGCTCAGATGTAAGGCCCATTTCTCCATCCTTATTCCTGACATTTCTGGCTTTCTCATGATGGCTTTGATGGGATAGTTGGTGCGAACTCGTATGGAATGGCTTTCAAAATATGGGCGTAGTTTTATTGAAGCAGTAACTAGGGCCAAAATAATTTTCTCTAAGGGCGCGTACCTTGTTTCCGCGGTTAGTAGGGTCTTACTTACGTAGTAGATTGGGAATTGTTCCTTGCCTTCTTCCCTTGTGAGGACCGCACTGATCGTCCCTTCAGAAACTGCAAGGTACAACTGGAGGGGCTCTCCCTCCTTAGGTTTAGAGAGAATCAATAGGTTGGCCAAGTACTCTTTTAACTTCTGAAATGCCTCTTCGTGTTCCTACTCCCACTTGAATTCCTTGTTTTTCTTCAGTACCTCGTAAAAGGCTTTGTTCTTGTCTGAAGATTTTGAAATAAACCTGTTCAGTGCTGTAATTTTTCCTGTTAGGCTCTGTACATCCTTCTTTGACTTTGGTCGTTCCAGATCTAGAATGGCCTTGACTTGGTCTGGGCTGGCTTCTATTCCTCTTTGTGTAACCATGTATCCTAAGAACTTTCCTGACTGTACTCCGAATGTGCATTTTGTGGGATTCAACTTCATGTCGTACTGTTTCAGGATGGCAAATGCTTCTCTAAGGTCTCTAACGTGCTCTTCTGCGTTCTTGGATTTAACCACCATGTCGTCTATATAGACCTCTATTGTTTGGGCGAATCTCAGCTAGGACATCTAAGAATTTGCTATTTTTTGAGGGGTAATAACAATCATTCTACCAATAATATATAAAGCAAATAAGAACGGTAATAAAGCAATAAATAATCAATAAGTAAGCAGTAAATATTCAATAAGAACAAGAAGATGAGATTAGAGATACAATACTGAGTAAGGACAAGCCTCCTTGTTCAGTAGGGACGCAGTTCCGTAGATAAAAGCAGAGCAAACTGTTTATATTGAATTATATATGAGCGTACATGAGTATTATAATACCTAATTCTTCTTATTTATACCTAGGAATCCATAGGGTTTACATAGATATTCAGAATATATTTGAAATGTAGGAGATCCCCTTGATTTATTTTGTTCCCTCTTCTGTAGGTGTTTCTTTGGCAAGTATCTTCTTGATTGATACTCTTGATGCTGCTTTCCTTGTTTACTCCAATCACGCCATTCTTGTTTATTTTGCTGAGTCTTTTAACTTGGATTTGTGCCCTAAGCATACTGGGTTGTATGTAAATACGGGCCCAACACCTGCATAGGTGAAACGATAAATAATAAACTAATGACAATAAATTGATAGATAATACTCGTAATCGCATACATTTGAGTTTTAGTATAGTAAAAACATCAAATTGAAGACATATTTATATTTTATTTTGTTGCATTACACATAAAAAACTGTTATGCTTACGGCTCCCTTTAATAGAAAATTCTTAACGATTAATAAAACAAATAATATGTTTAACTAAAAAAAGATATAGATAAATGAAGGTCAATATTAGTTTGGGTTTTAATTTCTTCCAAACAAAAAATACTATTATAATTTCACCTTGCAGTTTAATTTTACACTTACTGAATATCTTTTTTTGATATATATACATTGACTTCCTTCGATTTGGAATGTGTAATGCATACAAGTAGGGCTGTACATAGTGCGGTTTAGACCGCAAACCAAACCGCAATTTTGCGGTTTAGTGCGGTTTGCGGTTTGAAAATTGCGGTGCGGTTTTTTAAAATGATCAATACGCGGTTTGCGGTTTGGTGCAGTTTCCAAAATTATTAAGACCAAACTGTACCGCAAACCGCACTTTAATGCAGTTTGCAATTTTTATACTATATTTTCGTTAAAATTATATAAAAGAACTAAAATATATGAGCTAATTTTTGACTATTAGTTAATTAAAGGTTAATAAAAAGAGTTTACTATTTAAATTATTAACTAATAATTATAATATAAAATAAAAGTTTTGTTTTAAAAAAAAATAATTAGAATTTTAATAACGTACGGCTAAACCGCAAACCGCATCTTGCAGTACGGTTTGGTGCGGATTTTGTAAAAGTGCGGTTTGGTGCGGTTTGAAAAAATTACAAACCGCACTTTTGCGGTTTGGTGCGGTTTATGATCCAAACCGCACCGCGAACACCCCTACATAGAAGATAGAAATTTTGGCTGTTGAATTGGGTTTGCAAATGGTCATAAAGAAGGGTATCACAAAGCTAGTAGTACAAATGGATAAGCAAGAATGCATCGAAGCCATCAGATCAGATATGCTAGTTAGCAAGGAGGCGAGTGTGTCCACATCTTGAACAATTGTCATAATTTAGTCAAGTCTTTTTGTAAAATTGTCTTTAATTATTGATTTATAGAAGGTAATAAGGTGACAGATGAATTGGCTAAGTTAGTTGTTGTTCTCAAGGAAAAAGTTATTATTTCAATAATCCTCCGAAAAAACAACCCCTTAACTAGGAGGACTTAGTTGCGGTGACCTCGCCTCGTTTGATTAGTTAATTTGTGGTGTCTTGTTTTGTGTTCTTTATACTCCTTTTGAAAAAAAAAACATTGACTTCCTGGCAATAATTCAAGACTAGAGAAACACAATTATGAAAATTAAGCATTCGGTTGGTATCACTATGATTTTTGTTTAGTGAAATTGTTCCGAATACCCCTAAGGTTTTAAAAAATGCATCATGTACCCTTGAAAACTTTCAAATGCACTATGTACCTCTGAAGTTTGTAAATAAATGTACCAAATAACCTTAATCCTCTAACAAATGCACATATTATTGACTTATCAAACTAAAATCATGCCCAAACACTGACTCACTTGTAGTACTTTATATTTACTAGGGCAGCTAACGCACGCGATGCGCGTGCAATAGCTAGCTATATCCTAAATCTCTTTCGATTTTTTTCTCGAAGAAATCTCTTTCAATTCGATTTAACCTTACATCACAAATTTAGTTCTTGATAACTTTTTAATGAGAAAAATATATCAACAAATATATTAAGGGGTATAAATTATTCCATGCACTATTCTTAATATTTTTTTTAAAAAAAAAAACAAAAGTAATCATTATATTATTAATGACAGTGAATAAATAGTCTAGATGGTATAATTGTCCAAACACTATTCATTACAAAAACTTATACACATTAATGAGGGTATATATGTAAATACACATTTTGAAGGGCATAATTGGCATAACACTATTCATAAGTGTAATCTTGTACTTTTTATAAGGTAGGGATGTAGTAAAACCACCTTAAAGCATATATTAAATCAAAATTTAAACTCCGTTGATCATTCTAAATCCTAAATTTTTGGGTGTAGAATTTGCTTTATTAATTAAGTTTACTTATACTTAAATGATTTAGTATTAAAGTAACATTAAACTGTAATAATTTGATGCTTAGAGAGTCTCAATTTAACAAAATTAACATTTATTGTTAGTCTAAGGGCATTTGGTGCAATTTTATACAAACCTCAAGGGCACACAGTACATTTAAAAGTTTTACAAGGATATACGGTGCATTTTTTAAAAGCTCGGGGGTACATACATGGAACAATTTCCCTTTTGTTTATTGTTTTTTGGTTTTTAAAATCATATGATATATGTCATATAAATAAAAAATTGATCAAACTCATTAAAATCATGATAATTTTGAAAATTAACAACACAAAAGTAGTGAAAACACTTTTTTCCTATTTTTTGTTTTTGTTTTCAAAAAATCTTAAAATCTAAAACAAAAAACAAGCCCCCATATTACATTATATATATATATATATATATATATATATATATATATATATATATATATATATATATATATATATATATATATATATATATATATATATATATATATATATATATATATGAAGAAAGTTAATATTTGTAGTTATTACATCCCATTAAGTTTTATAAAACTTGTATAGACATACTAGTTGTAATTTGAGTATGTTTCCTTCAATTAAAACAAAATATAAATATGCCAAACAACCAATTTTTCTTTTCTTTTCTTTTTGAAATTTTTTAATTATTCAAGATTATTTGTAACGATAATGCAGGCTAATGGTTTAATTTGTATATTTAAAATGTGGCTTACTATTTTAGGGTAACCAAAAAATAATAATCCATGCTTATTATTTAAGCACTGTACGTATTTTCGAGGGTACAAATTTCACCTTAAGGTTTAAAATTTTTGTAGGGCACTAATAATCAATTTTCTTGTATTAGAGGCTAAGAAAAAAAAAAGTACAATAAAAAAGTAGTTTTTTTTTAATTTTTTTTATTTTTTACAAACCTCACTAGCAAGATATATGAGTACAACTTTTATATTTGATAAATTAAAAAGGGGGATTTGCCAATACAAATTATACGAATTGTACCAAATAGTTCGGAAGCGAAATTAATGCTTTCTCCTTTAAATACTCGTCATTATCTAATAGCTCTCTTTCATCCTCCTTTAGAAGCTTAAATGCGTTTTTTCTTTGTACATATTCTTTATCTTCTTTTTCATAACAACCTAAAAGAAATAAAAAAGAGCAAAAAAAAAACCTGCACTTTTCACTTTTTTTTTCTTTCTATTAAAATCTTGAAAATAAAAAATACAAACTATAGTGAAAGACAAAAACAAGAAAGGTAAGCCAAAATTTGTTTTCAGTCATCTTCTCTCCTCTCTAATACAATGAGAGGAGAGGATATGATTTTGTACATGTACATTTGATAAATCATAGCATGAATTAGATCTAACTAACCAACAAAAAAAGATAATAAGAGGTGAAAGAGAACAATAAATCACAATCAAAGGGGGGGAAAGTTGTATATTTTACACACTTGGAGGTCATATGCCTAGGATGATAAGGAAGAAAGATGAATTTTCTATAGATTATCATCAACATACACCTTCATCCAAGAAAAAAGGCATCATTAGAAGTTGTCGAAAATGTGGCAATGGAGATGAACATGGAAATATATGCGGCAGTATAGATAGAATTAACAATGAAAGCACATTTAAAAGGGGGTCATGGACTGCTGAGGAGGATGCTTTATTAATCGACTACGTCAAAAAACATGGAGAAAGACATTGGAATTGTGTGCAAAATACAGGATTAATAAGATGTGGAAAAAGTTGTCGACTTAGATGGACAAATCATTTACGTCCAGATCTAAAAAAGGGTGCATTCTCCCCTGAGGAAGAAAGAATTGTTCTCGAACTACATGCTAAGCTTGGTAATAAATGGTCAAAAATTGCAGCTGAGGTATGCTTGAATTATTACTGAATTTCTATATAAGTATTATTTGTTTTTGTTATTACATATGCTACTTTTGTAACATGAGATTTACTTTTTATAATATTCAAAGCTACCGGGAATAACAGACAACGAGGTGAAGAATTTTTGGAACACAAAAATCAAAAGGAGGATCAAAGCTGAAGCATCAATATTAAATTCAGAAGTAAACAACCTCAAACAAATTGGAAATTTTGGTAATCATTTTCAACATCGAAAGAATCCACAAAATCATATTTATCAAGAATTGTCAATTTCAATACCTAGTACTTCATTTTCTTCACATTCTTCTACTTCTCCTTTCTCAACCCCAACATCATATCCAGTGTCAGATATTTTATCTAATTCGGGTTACAATATCATAAACTCTATTGGAATTAATGATCCAATTTCGACTTTTCTCACTAATCCAGCTTATAAATCCGAACTTATGCTTGAAAATGAAGCAACACAATATGATGCTAGCAATTTTGATACAACTTTACCCGTTATTCCTAAATTTTCATTAACACCTAATTCCAACATTACATCTATCACCAACCGCGGTCACAGAAATAATTATTTTGATGCGTCAAATAGTATGTTCACTGAAAACTTTGTTGACGATGGTATGTTAAGAAGCAATAGAACATCACTTCCTTTACATCAAATGATTCAGAAGGAAAACTTACTTGCAACATTTCCTTCAAGTGTTGTTGGTTCTTATACAAATAATAGATTCAATAACTTGCACACCTCATGGTCAATTGGGATCAACTCAACAGAACAAAATTCATCAATTATCAATGAAGAGAAATTAAATATATACAATGATCCAAATGGAAATGATAGAGTAATGACCATGATTTCGCTGGATAACAATGTGGATGATTCGAGGATATTGGATGAACACAATTCTAATTTATTCTCAATTGGTATGTTTTCATTTTGTCTTAATATTTCAAATTTATATATTCATTCTTTGTTCAATCTTAATTTCCATTTTTAAGAAAGTTTGATCATGTTGTCACACAAGTAAAGAGAGTGGAAAGAATATATATATATATATATATACACACGCCCTTTTTCACGCCTTTCCAAAATATATTGTTCACACTTTTATAACAATTTTGTAACATGGTATTTAAAATTTAGTAACGTCGTTACACTAGTTTTGGTATTAATAAGAAATTATGTCAATAAAGTTATGAATTTATGATATAATTTATAATATTGAAATAATTAGAAACACTCCTTATTTAAGTAGAAATTAAATACTTGTCCAAAAAATGTAGAAATTAAAAATGGAGTAATAATTGTAAAGATGTGCTACTATTTTATCATAGAAAGCCGAAAATTAATAAATTTTTTTCATATGTTATTAACGTAGCTATTAAAGGACATCCAATTCGAATATCAAAATACTTTTTTTTCCCTTTTGTACCCAATTTTCGTATTATTTTCCTACCCACTTATGATTTTTTTTTTTTTTTTTTGACAAAAGCAAATGCAAACCCACTTATAACTTATTATAATCCTAGCAAGCATATTTCACCATCTTATTTTCTTAATCCCATTATATTTGCACCTTTTAACACACTTTTTATCTCTTACTTATCCTATCATTTTTGTATCCACCTATTATATACTTCATCTCTCTTACTCCATCCTCATTTGTTGTTTCCTTTCATTTACCAAATCACCTGATTTAATAATTTGAGCATAGAAAGTGAGTAAAAGATAGAGGAATTATTGATTATCCATATGCTTGCACTATTGATTGAATTTTTAAGACAAATATTAACATTATTGATTTAGTGTTTAATTTATTTTATATAGGGATGAAGGACTCTAATAAGGAGCAACATGAGGAAATGATATCCATGGATGATGATCTTTCAAGCTTGCTATATGATTTTTCAGTTACTAATTCACCTCTCCTTTGATATGATATAAAAGATAATATATGCAAGATAGTGCTTGGATAAACAAAAAAGCGAATTTGTTATTTACTATTACAATAATATTTTTTTATTTTTTATTTTTGAAAATATATATCAAGTATATTGTAAAACTTTCACCTTCTAACATACTAACACATTTAATTTCCTACTACAAGTTTGGGCTTATTTAAGTACTTTAATTTAATTTTCTTCTGCTAAAAAGATCTTGGGACATTTTTAGTGTAAGAAATTTAATTATGTTAGATTTTTAGATTACTAATGATATTGTATGCTTATATATTCATTCTTTGTTCAATCTTAATTTCCATTTTTAAGAATGTTTGATCATGTTGTCACACAAGTAAAAAGAGTGGAAAGAATATATATATATATATATATATACGCCCTTTTTCACGCCTTTCCAAAATATATTGTTCACACTTTTATAGTAATTTTGTAACATGGTATTTAAAATTTAGTAATGTCGTTACACTAATTTTGGTATTAATAAGGAATTATGTCAATAAAGTTATGAATTTATGATGTTATAATTTGACAAAACGGCTGATTTGACAAAAATATTTACCAAAACGGCTAATTACGAATTTTAATGGATCTTTTACCAAAACGGCTAATTTGACAAAAGTATTTACCAAAACGGCTAATTATGAATTTAATTCCAAAACTAGCTAAATTATTGACTTAAAATCAAATTAGCTATTTATTTTTCTTTTGAACCAATTTTGTTTAGTGTTCATTTTATTGATGTTTTTTTTTAAAAAAAATTTGTTTTTAGGATTTTTTTTTAAAGTTGGAAAATTTAACGATATGCGGAGTACAATATACTAATTTTTTCGGCTAGATCATATCATTTAAATTTGGAATTTCAAATAGTATTGTTCTATCAATACTACCACAAATTTATGTAATGATAAGGATTTTTAAGGTATTGTTCATTTTTTTCATGCCTATAAATTGTATACTTTTGTTAATGTCAGCTAATTTGAATATTTTTTAGTTTAATGTTTATAATAAATCAAATTTACATGTAGTGATACATTATGGTAAACAATGAATATGTTCTTAGTTTTTTTATTTTTATTTTTTGTTAATTAATTAGAAATTTGGAATAATTTTTTGAGTTTTGATTTTCCCTAATTTTTTTAAAAATGTTGATGCTTGCACCTCTGAAAAAAGTAGAGTCTCCAAAGAATTGTTGCAAAAATATTATATTGAATGTTATTTTCAAATTAATGGGATTCTTTTTTTTGGTGCAAAAGAGGGGAGAACCCCTAACAAAATAAAAGCACACTAACAGAAATTAAAAAATAAAAAAAAAAAAAAAAAAAAAAAAAAAACAAACAAAACAGAAACACAAAAGCACACCCTACGAAAAACGATCTAGCTACCCTCTCATCATTGGATATCTTAAACTATGGCATTCGAATTTCCAAAAAAAAATACTAAAAACCGAAAAATAGAAAAAAAATAACTAATTTTTTTTCTTTAAAAAAACTCATAAATTGAACCAAAGTAGCTCAAAGGAAAATAAGAAATAAATAATTTCCTTCCAAGTTAATAAGTTAGCTAATTTTGGAATTAATATATATACGCATATGTATATGTGTGTGTGCGCGCGCGCGCTACATGGAGAAGATTAGGTACATCTTCTCACAAGACCGTGACCTAAACTATCAAAGAGTAAAAAAATAAGAAAATTTACTATATAAAATTGGACTTATATCTTGAATTCTTGATGAGTTGGAGTAGAATAGCCGAGAGAGGCAACATTATTTAAAATGTGATTACCTAAAAAGTCATTACCTAAATGGACTAAATTATTGATAAATAAATTAACGATAAATCCTAGAATACGAAATTGATATTCTATGAGTACAAAAAGAAACAACATCTTACCTTAGAAGGTGCTTCAACGGAGGATGGAATATCAATGGAGATCGTGGAGTGCTCCTCGACGGGAATTTGATGAAGAGAGATCAAGCGGGAGACTAAGAGAAAGAGGAATATGATAGATGCTCCCAATGGCGGATCATCCAGGGGGGCATTAGGGGCCTGGCCCCCTGGTGAAGTCCAAAATGTTTTAGGTGATTATGAATATAGCATTATAGCCCAGTAAAAAGAATCATGTAAGAGTAGGCCCAACTTTAATGTATATGACTTCTTATATTTCTACAACTGCATGCCTAAGAGTCTAAGACCCACTTTTGAGTAATTTGAGCTTCCAACCTACTTTATCTCCTATTATCTAGATTCTCTAGCTATTCAGATTAATTTTATCTTAACCATTGGATGTACTAGATGTAATAGCAAAGTTTAGACTTATAACTACAATATTTAGCTTATTGATTTGACACTTGAGAAGTTAAGATTTTTGGGAATTGAGTGCACTTTTGTATCAAACATTAATCTTTTACATAGTATCAAAGGCCTATCGGTAAGTTATACTGAGTGTTCTTTTATTTTTTTTACAAGATTATATAGAGTGTTTTATACTTATTCAATTATTAATTGGTGTTCTAGATTCTAATGCAATGAAATCTGAACTTTTTTAATTAGAAATTTAGTGTTTTTTGTTGTAGTATTAATGTTATGATTCATAAAATGAAATCTAGAATATAGTTTATTTGATGTTATTTTTAATAAATGTAGCGATATGAATATTATTTATTTTTATTACTCTGGTTGTACTTTCGTAACACATTTAGTTTGATCTGACCCTCAAAGAATTATTTTCAAGATCCGCCATTGGATGCTCCCTAAATTATGTAACACTTTGATTTTATTTTAATTATTTTGTTTATTAATTTTCTTTTTTACTTTGATTTGATAAAAACTACATAGTACTCTATATTACTTTTGACTTTTACTACATACAATATATATATATTTTTTATTAACCACAATATTTATATATACTTCCTCTACTTTTTCAGTTTACACCATTTGACTTTTGCACTATTTATAAACTAAACGTTTACACCATTTGACTTTTGCACTATTTATAAACTAAACTTTGATTAATTTTGTGATTTATAACTACGATAAAACATAGTTATGCATGTGGGATCTTATTTGAATGGTGTCAAAGGTATATTTCCACTTTATTTTAAAAAAAAATATAAATAGAGTTTATATCTCCCTTTTTTCAATCATCAACAAGCTTGATCATCAAATAATCCTCTTCTCTCTCTTTAGCCTAAACACTAGCCACCTTATTCTCTCAAAATATTTCCCTTAAGCACTCCAAGGAGTTCATACAATACCCAAAGTTCTGTACTTTAACCAAGGCGTGAAAGGTATAATTAACTAAGGGTTTGGACCAAATCAAATCTAAATTTATTTAATTTATATTTCAATTTGATTTATATTTTTATTGAAGTTACTAACAGTTTATTCATGATGTAGCAATTCAAAGAAACGCGGAAAGTGAGTAATTAATCACTTAATTACTCTTATTTTTATTCTTGTTGCTAGTATCATGATTTTATTATTTATATTTGATTTGACTAACCATTTATTGTTAAATTGCTTCCAATATTAATGTTTATTCTATTGTTATTATGATCACTATATTTCATGTTAAAGGGAATATGTAATTAAAAATCACGCTTAATAAGATAATTTGGACAACCGGTTTAGGATCCTTTTAATCTTGTTATTAAACCAAGTGATCACAATATTTTAGAATTATATGTTGCATTAATATTCAACCAATTTAGCTTAATAATAGTTTGGAGCGAATTAAATATTTTGTTTGTATGCCTTTGAGATCGCAGGAATCACTTTTCACTATAAGAATCGAGTAGAGGCCAATACGGACGAATGTGACTCCATGACTCACTTCGTACCATCATCCCTGATCCTCCTTTTCGTGGTTCCGAACCATATGCAGTTAGTAATCTCATGGATTATGAATGGGGTGTAACCTTCACGAGCCAATCGTTGTTACCTATCGTTTTCCCTTTATTCGTGGTTGCCTTTTATGATCCGTGAACGGTTTACAAGTTCCTTAAAAACTTGTTGGCGGCTCCCTACTTTCCTTGTCCTTAATAGTATATGTCAATTCTCACTTCCTATGAGTGTCAAGCATATTCACAACATGCTTTAACGTAGGCGCACTTCGAGCGACGCCTACAATCATGCAAATTTACATAAGATTGATAAATAAATTCATTCTTATGCACACTCATCACTCTAAATAGATACGCAGTACAAAGTATAATCAGGGGCGGAATCAGGGGGGTTGGGCTAGGCCATGGCCACCCCCTTGATTTTATATAAAAATTAATTGTCATACAATTATGAGTATATGTGGTAGTTAGCTCAGTTGGTTATGCATATGTTGTTCAACTTATGTGTCATTTTTTTTACAGGAGTTCGATACTTGCTGCTGACAATATTTTTTTAATTATTTCATTCATTGTATGCTTGGTAATCATGCATACATCACTTTTTACTATCCTAAATTCACAAAATTTGCTAGTGGGCTCAAAGAAGACTCTTTTTTTTTGGAAATTTTACTACGTTATTATTTTTGTACAGAGAAGGATTTTTAACTTAAATTAATTAAAAAAAAATAGCTGTTACTTTTAAATTTTCACATATATTTGAAGACGGTTAAAATCTTACGTATTGTCCATTGTCCAATGAGAAATTAGAAGATGCATTGAGTTAAAATAAACATAATTGATTTTGGCCCCCCTAAAGAAATTTTTCTGGTTCCGCCACTGAGTATAATTAATAGTATATATATTATGCTTGCATGAGTGTGCTATGAATTTGTGACTTTAAATTAATTGTCAAATATCTTGTCAACAAACCAAAAAAAAAAAAAAAAAAAAAAGTTGTCAAATAAATAGTTTGGTTATAGGTGTAGAAAAAGTTTACAAACTTGTTATAATATATAATTCGGAAATTTTGGGTTTATTAGCAGTTTTGTAACAAAATATTATAGCAAAAATTGAATTATATATAGTTTGTCT